GCCTAATAAGCCAAGTTTTCATGAATTAATTGTTTTTGACTACATAACCTACCTAATCTAACCTAACCTAACTTTTTCGGATACCTAACCTAACCTAACCTATAATGATAGGTTAGGTTAGGTTAGGAGACACCTAACCTAACCTAACCTATAAAGATAGGTTAGGTTAGGTTAGGTAGGGTTGGTTAGGTTCGGTCATATATCTACGTTAATTTTAACTCCAATAAAAAAAAATTGACCTCATACATAATGAAATGGGTAGCTTTATCATTTCATAAGAAAAAAATTAGAGAAAATTTATGAATTCAGGAAAACTTGGCTTATTAGGCAAATCGGGCCTTGCATAGTAGGCTGAGAAGTGCGTTCTGGCTACTAAGTACGACATACATATATATATATATATATATATATATATATATATATATATATATATATATATATATATATATATATATATATATATATATATATACATACATACATATATACATACATATACATATACTGTCTCCACTCGATCATCCGGACTATATGGGAAGGACCCCCAGCCGGATTATCACATTTTTCGGATAATGGTACTTTTTCACCTACGAGTTCAAAAGTGACCATTTCCAACTATTTTTATATTACAAACAACATAATTTGAATTGCCTTGCCGCATACAATTATTAAATATTCAACTAGAAACCTCAACTTACCTTGTTGGTGTTCGTCTTCTTGATTGATGCCACACATCTTGAAGTTAAAAATTCTTAACAATTTACGTAACCTATACTAACACAATACTAAAATTAACACTTAAAATTACTGTACAGTTCATTAAGCTAAGTTAGTTTTGACTGCCAGCTGCTGAAGCCTCACTGGTTGAGGGCATTTGGGTTGCCTGTGAGGCCTCACTTGTTGAAGGCGCTTGCTTGCACCTCACTTGTTGAAGCGCTTGCATGCCCTCACTTGTTGAAGGCACTTGGCTTGCCTGTGACGCCTCACTTGTTAAAGGCGCTTGCTTGCGCCTCACTTGTTGAAAGCGCTTGGCTTGCCTGTGGCCCGTCACTTGTTGAAAGCGCTTGGCTTGCCTGTAATGCCTCACTTGTTGAAGGAGCTTGGCTTGCCTGTGGCGCCTCACTTGTTGAAGGCGCTTGGCTGCCTGTGACGTCTCACTTGTTGAACAACACGTAACTTGTCTTTAATTGCTAGGACAATCTTCTTCCTCTTAACACTTCCAGAACGATTGATGCTGCTACCAGACATATTCTTGGCCAAAAATGTTCAAAATTACTATGAAAATTAAGAAAGTTATTTAAAATAATATTTCACTAATGGCGCAACACTGTGAGGCCGCACTGGTTGAGGTGTATAACAGTGACTTGTCTTTAATTGTTAGGACAACTTTCTTCCTCTTAACACCTCCAGAACGATTGATGCTGCTACCAGACATAATCTTGGCCAAAAATGTTCAAAGTTACTATGAAAATAAAAAATTTATTTAAAAAAATATTTCACTAATGGCGCAGCACTGTGTATAACACGAGGGACGGCCGCACATGGGTTGACCAGTGTTGGACGGGTCCACTTGGGGTGGGGCAGCTATAGCGCATTACGTAGGCCGCCAGGAGGAAAAAAATTCACAATATTTTTGAAGGAAACTTCAGCCTGTGCACAATGCTTTTAGGAAACTTATTTATTTGTTATTACATAATTACTAGTACTTATTTAATTTGTTTTTGGCTATGATTAATTGTTCTAAAATTAATGGTAATTCCTGTACCCAGGTGGTCCCTCCTGACGCACCCCTCCCACCCTCCCAAAAAACCCCCCTCCTCCACCATGCGTCTAGAGCCAGAGATGGGATTAATACGGTATGGCCGTATTTTCATCCGGCCAAACCAGCTTTTATCCGGTTCCTGTGGCCATTTTGGCCGGATATTGTGATAACTTTATCCGATCACGATTTTGGCCGTATAAGGGCGTTTTCCGGATGTTTGAATCCCGGATAATCGCGGGGTTACAGTATATACATATGACAATGTCAGACCACGGAGGAAAAATGAAACAGGAATTTCCTTTTAAGGAAATTCCTGTTTCATTTTTCCTCCGTGGTCTGACATTGTCACATTTTTAATCACGTGTTTATTTTCGTGATATACACACATATATACATATATATATATATATATATATATATATATATATATATATATATACATACATACAATTTCTTTCGGCAGGGTCTCCATTCCCTTTGCTGTTGACCGGGCGCTGGGGGAGCAGCTTGCTCTGTTGGCTCTCGCTTGGTCCCGCAGTTAGTGGGCGTTTTTAGTTGTCTTCCGGCCTCTGGTGGCGGCGGACGGCTTCTTCCCCTTTGGGGGGTTCGGGGCTGGTGGGGTGGTCTTCGTCCCCTGTGCTTCGCCATGTCATCTTGATTGGTGAGTTTGGACGTGGTCGATCCACCTCATCCTTCAGGGGTTCCCGTCTGCTCTATGCAGACACAGGCCTTGCGGATCTGTGGTTCTTCTGGACTTGTTCAGTCTGTGTCCTGGATTCTTTGCCCTCTTCTGAGGACTGTTGTCTCCGGTCTGGCTTCTGTTGAGGCCAGTTGCCTGGATGGTGGCCCTTCACCTCCGGGTCACTTCTTGGCACGTTCCTCTCCAGGGTTCCGGGACTGGCACAGTTGGTGGTGGGGCTTCATGCTTGCCGCTTTTGTTGCCTTCCTTAGTTTGTAATTGGCACTTGGCGTATTTACGCATCTTTACCGAATCTTGGTGCCCTGTCTGCGTCTGCTCGGGATTCGGTGTCTGGCCTACCTCGACGACTGGCTGGTGTGGGCTCCCAGTCAGTCCGCTTGTCTGCTTGCCAGGGGTGTGGTTCTTTCCAGATCACCGGATTCAGTTTCCTGGTGATCTGGAGGCTGTTCCATCTGTTTCCGTCCCTGGTTCGGACCTGGCTGGGGTCTTGTTTAGGGCTCTTGGGCCACTCCTTGTCTTTCCCTCCAGAAGCGTTGCTGCGGCTGTGGTCCCGCCTTCGGCTGTTGATGAGGGGGGGTCCCGGGTCGCTCGGCGGTTGCTCAAGCGGTTGTGCGGGAGTCTGAACATCGACGTGCTGGTCTGCCCGCAGGGTCAGGTTTGGCTTCGGCGTCTGTTTGGTTCCTTCGGCGACTCCCCCTCCGCCTCTCTTGCAATCGTTGGGTTAGTCCACCGGGATCTTGTGTTGGTGCTGTGTCACCAGCTTCCTCTTTGGGGTTTCGGGATTCCGTGCCTTGGCACCTTCCCGAGCCTTCGCTCGATGCATTCACGGACGGGTCATCTCTTGGCTGGGGCTTTGTGACCATTGCTCACCAGGTCAGCCGGGGATGGTGGGGTCTGTCCGTCCGTCGGGCTCACAGCACGGTTTGGGAGTTCGTGGCTGTCTGGTTTGCGCTTCGGGGGGTTCGGGTCATTCAATCCTCTACCATCCAGCTTCATTTTGGATTGTTCTCCAGTGGTTCATTGCCGGAACCACGGGGTTTCTCTTAGGTCTATGACCTTTGGGGTTGGTCCCTTCGAGTGGCTCGTTTGCTGGATTCTCGAGGTTTGGCTAGCCGTGCGGTTCTTGCCCGGGGTATGTCCTGTGTCCTGGCAGACAGCCTATCCCGGTTCATTCCTCTGTTTGTGGATTGGCCGGTCGTTGCTGACTCGTTTCTTTGGCTCTGCCAAACGTATGAACTCCTAGCCATGGATATCTTTGCGTCGGCGTGGTCTCGGCATCTCTCATTCTGTATGGCGCCTTTACCCGCCTGCAACGCATTCACGGTGGATGCCTTTTGGCAGGCCTGGTCGAGGTGGGGGTACCTGTTCCTCTTCTCCCGGTCCAGCTGTTGCTTCAGGTTCTGGCTCGGTTGGAGTCCATTCCCTAGGAGAGAAGCCCTCGTGGTCCCTTGGTGGCCGGCCCAGCTTTATTTTCAGACCCTGCTTGATAGGTGTCCGAACCCGGGGATTTTCCTCAGCTCCGCCTCTTTTGGCATGTTGGATCGGTCCTGTACGTGACTGGTTCGGCCTTCTCCTTGGCTCTTCGTGTCTGATATTTTGACGCGGGTGTATCACCATCTGTATGGTGATCAGGTGGCCTTGTTGATGATGTCCCACCAGCGAACATCATTTCTGCGACAATATGACATTTCCTGGTGTTTCTATTCGCCATTTTTTTGCTCTTTGTATGCTGTCTTCTCTTTTGCATCAGGTTGTCTTGTCTTTTCTTGGGTTTTCAGGACAGCTTTTTGATGCTTTTTACTGTCGCCTCGTATCGTGTGGCTCTGGTGGAGCCGCTCCCGCTTGCATTCAGGGTGGACGTCACATCTGCCTCATTCTGTACGCTTTCTCGTGTTTTGTTTCACCTCCAGCCTGCTCATGCGTAGCCTGAGCCGTCCTGGTTCTTGATCATGGTGCCCTCTTATCTTTCTTCTCCTCAGTTTGTGGTAGCCCCTTTGGTTCCAGATTATTTTCATAGGCCATATTTTGTTGGCATGGGCCTCTGCGGGTCGGGTCGGGGAGCTTCCAGCTCTCTTCTGGTGCAAGGGTTTCTGCTCTTTTGGTACTGGTGGTAGGTTTGTACGTTCGCAGCCTTTCTCTGTCCTGGTGACGATCGAGACGGCTGTTTTCCGGAGGGGTCCTTGGGTTATTGATGCTTGGTTGGTTCGACCGAGGTTGCGTCATGTGTTGTCCGGTTGCAGCTCTTTGCCGTTACCTGCGTACAGTGACTGGGGATGCGCTTTGGGTTGATCTGGTTCCCCTCATTCCCTGGTAGGTCTGAACTCCTTAGCTAATGTCCCGGTCTAATATAACAAACATTAGCCCGATAAGCTCCAGGGAGCCTTTGGGGCTCACCCAGAAAATGGCGTTTCATTACATTCAAACCTGGTTTTTTTTTAATTTTAGTTGTTGCATGACTTGTAATCCTTGCATATATATTTTTTTGTATTTCTGTATAATGCATTTCAGATAGTTATTTTCCTCTTTCTTTTGATGCAGGTATTGACTAATCTGCCACTTTCTGAACGTCTGGAGAAACTTAAAACAGTAATCAACCCCTTGGAGGGCCGAGTTATCTTCTCTGCAAAAACCCCTGTTAAATCCAAGTAAGTTTTATTTGGGTATTTCATTCATTTTGTGTCACTAACACAACTTATCCTATATTGGTTTCCAAAAATTATGTTAGTTACCCTACTGTTGCTCTCTCTGAGCCTAGTTCTAGTACAGTACAACCAAATCTTTGCTAAACACACCAGGCCTCTGAGACCCATCTGCCTCCTTTGTGAACTGGCGCTAGGTTGCTAGGAGTTCAGAGAACATCAATACCCGAGATAAAAGTCACCAGAAAGTAAAAGTGCAACAAAACAAGTGATTGCTTGAAGGAAATTAAGCATTCCTAGGTAAATGAGGCAAATTATCATTGCAATGGAGAAAATACCCTAACTGTGAGGCACTCAGCTGCTGGCCTGGCCCCATGCTGGGCTTGGGGAATAGAAGAACTCCCAAAACCCTATCCAGGTATGCTCCAGGTATACCAGATAGCAGCACAGGTCACCTAGGGTCTCACCCTGCCTCTTCATTCGTTCACCTGGTGCCATCATCTAGTCCCTTTGCTGGGCCCTTTAACAGCTTTTCACTTTCAGCTAAGAGGTGCTGGGTTTCCCTGGAACATTAATTCTGCTGATGGCAATGGCTTTGTTTTTATGCTTGTGTTTTTGAATACAGTGAAAGGTGGTTGTATATGTTGTTGCATACATGTAAAGGCATGTTCCTCTACATGTTTAACTCCTCTCGAGTCACCTCACTTCAGGGCAATGCAGGAGGCTTGTTCTCTCATGGGGGAGGGTGCCTGTTCATGGAAAGAGAGTCTTTGAACTGTGTTGTGCATGTTAAAGACCTACTTATCATGCTTGGCCCTACTCCTGTTGCATGTTACTAGCATTGCACTTTAGCTGAGGTCATGCTTGGATTGTGTATGTGATCTTTTATAATTCTTGGCTCTCTGTGAGAGAGAGAGAAAAAGAGAGATGGAGAGATGATTTTTGCAGGAGCATGAGAACTTCATGCTTCTTGCCTTAATATTTTTCCTTCATTCGAGACTCTGAACATGCACTCTGCCTCCTAATATGGCCTTTCATCTATGTTGGTTTCTGCAATCGGGGATATGTCATGTGCTCTTTCCTGTAACTCGGGTGCAGCATTGGGCTGGTTGATACCTGGTTGATGGGGTTCTGGGAGTTCTATTACTCCCCAAGCCCGGCCCGAGGCCAGGCTTGACTTGTGAGAGTTTGGTCCACCAGGCTGTTGCTTGGAGCGGCCCGCAGGCCCACCACAGCCCGGTTGGTCCGGCACTCCTTGGAGGAATAAATCTAGTTTCCTCTTGAAAATGTCCACGGTTGTTCCGGCAATATTTCTTATGCTTGCTGGGAGGACGTTGAACAACCGCGGACCTCTGATGTTTATACAGTGTTCTCTGATTGTGCCTATGGCACCTCTGCTCTTCACTGGTTCTATTCTGCATTTTCTTATTTTTCATGGGCTCTCACTGTCATTCCTGTATCTCTTATTCTTTGTTCACAAATGCGCTTATCATGAATCCTCTGCATGGTAGTTTAGCCACTCACTCATTATGCAGCCAACATTAACCACTTAACTGCACCAACTGAGTATTCTCGATCGGCGGGAAACTGCGCCAACCGAGAAAACCCTTTTTTATTTTTCGGTACCAATTCTAAATATGTACGAGGTTGGTTGTGTACGAAATGGACTCTTAAGGACCTGCAGTGAGAGGCAGCCATCTTGGAAAAAATTTCCAGAATGCCCTAAGGCTGCTGGCTGGGTTAGTACTGAATTAGCAACCATGGGTGGCGCACACGCCTCTGGCTCCCAAACACCTGTCCGACACGGTGTTGAAAGATAACGCTCTGTTTATGAAATTCAAACCTTATTGTTTGAAGAACATAAGGGTCATAATATTGGTGAAGCTAGGCGCAATAAGGACCTAACACAAAGGTGGGATGCAAATGATACAGCACCTATGAGGACGATACAGCGAGCGTATCCAGTTGTAGCTCTGAGTGTCACCCTTGCAATCCTATGTTATCTCCAATTTATTTAGATGATACATAGATGAATCGTTTTCTGCGTTCAGTGATGATGCATCTGATACAAATAGCATAGATGAAGAGTGTTAGCGGCTTCCATGGTGGTGTTTTCCATAGATATTTTCAAGAATACCTGAATCTCTTTCTAACTGACGGACACTCTTTGAGGCTAGCTGAATCTCTTTCTGACTGACGGACACTCTTGAGGTAAGCTGAATCTCTTCCTGTGTGGGACCATACAAAGCGATCTTTTCAAGACTACCTTACAAATTGATTTTTTCCTATAATCTTTTCAATATTACCTTTTGCTTACATGCTTGACTACACATAACCTACAAGTACTATAGCCAAGGGTGTACGTGAGTGTGTTATTTGCAAGCACACAGAATGAAGAAACAGGAAGCAAAAATTTATCTGTACCTGGTGTACTGAGAGCGAAGTCGCACTGTATACCATGGCCTACTTCATTGATTATTACTCACTTCTGAAGCACTGAGTGTGTAATACAGTTTGTTACTGTGTAAATAGTGTGTGAAACTGTGCATATTGTAATTTTATTGAATTTTTAACAGGTAATATTGCGACAATAAACATTTATTGTGACACATTACTGACACATGTATCACAGTTCCATGGAACATTATGAACGTTCTACTGTATACATATTGTAAAGGACACAAATATGTATTATATACGATAAAAAAAACAAATAAAACCGCATTGGAAGTACATAAAACAAATAATTGAAAATATATTTGTGGCAACACCCGGTGCTTGAATGGCCCACGCGACCGTGTCTGGGCAATTCACGCACGGGCGACCAGGCCGTGATGACATCACAGCGCACCTTGTCCATGTCCCTACAGCCAAAGTAAGTGGAATTTGGTATTTATTTTTACATAGACATGTTCAGGGAAGGGAATTTATCATTTTTACGAAGAAAAAAGAATTTTTTAGGAACTTTATTTCATGCGCACTGGGGGAGTTTCACAATAGACTCGGCGCAGCACAGTGGTTAAACATACCGTGCCTCTTGAGGCCCTGCTCAGCAACGCCAAAATGTTAATGGGAATTTTATGTTTTCAAAGCATTTTCTGGGGTGAGCCCCGTCGGCTCCCCGGAGCTATCCTTGCTAATATGAATGTATTAGTCCCTGGCACCAGTCAAAGTGCATAGAGTTCTAGGCCTACCAGGGACCACGAGCCAGAACCTGGCCCCCTCAGAGAGGCATGAGGAGCAATGGCCTATAAAAATCACCCTTGTTGTTGGAAGCATTCTATGTCTACCATCGACCGATCAGGCACCCAGAAAGGTAAGCGCCCTAAAACAAATCCTTATTCTAGTGAAAATATTGCTACTGAAAGCTGACCTAGTGGATAGAACTCCCCAAATGAAAATGAGCAAACGAGCATGACGTCACCACGTTACCGCACCGCTGTCTGCACAACCCCCCTCCCTCCCCTGGATGGGGAAGGGGGAGCCCCAGAACCCCGAGTTGGCTATCCACCCTGCAGTTCTGTGGCTGATGTGATACTGGCAAGGTTGTGTGCCTCTGGCTCCAGCATATTCCATTTCTGTGCTTTGTGGCATGTGAGCCAGGAGTAATTTCTTCAGTATTCGGGCTGTATGTGCCTAGGGTTGCCTTCCTTAGGTGCTCTGTAAGTACTGCCCTTGGGGACTTGGGGGTTACCTTCCACAAGTCTCCATGGGTTCTACCTCCGCTGTATCTTTTGCTGCTCGGTGATTGACTGCCCTTGGACTCAACTGGGGTGTTTATTGCTTTCCTGTTTGCCTCTGGGTAGGGGTAGTTTTTGTCACTGTTTGGGGGCATAGGTTACTGTGCAATAAGTTTTCTCCACTCATAGTGGCCGGCTCTGTTCCGCCTGGATGCGTTGTCCTTTTGCGGAGGTTTCTTTTTCTTTTTTTTCCTGCCTGGGGGGGGGGGGTCTGCTTCTTGGTTTGGTCACACCCTTTATTCTTTGGTGGTCCTCCGCTAGGCTCCCAGCGAGTGTACACATCCTGGGGGTTCAGCTGTGGCAGTTTGCTTGGTAGTTTTTGGGCACCAGGTAGCACTACCCTGCCTGGGTTTCCCTTAGCAAGGTAACGTGACCAAGAGCCCTGGAAACCCCGCGGGGGATCTTTGGTCTGATGGACGCGACCCCTGGGTCCTCTCTCGCTACATGCGAGTTTGAAGGCTGCTCTGTCCCCCTGTCTCAAGGTGACACTCACCGATTGTGCCTCCGGTGTGTTGCCTTTTGGGTCGGTGACACTTTCGACCCAGAGTCTTGTGAGTTTTGTTCCTTGTTCGTACTCCAATTCACCCAGTCCTTTGATCATGATTTGCGGGTGCAGGCAGTTTCGGCGTTGCATGCTTGATTTATGCTGCCACAATGTGCTAGGTTGATTGCTTTCCAGGATGCCCCGAGACTGCCCTGTTTTGGTTATATTGATCCGGACTTGGGGGTGTTAGTCGCCTCGACTTTGGTTTCTACCGCACCCCTCTTTCCTTCCCCTTCTGTTGTTCGTCCTGGTCCTCCCTCCATGCTTCTGACTCCGAAGCATCAGAGAACTTCGGAGTCGAGGCAAGGTTTAGTTAGCTTTGAGACTTGGGTGGTTTCAGGGGATGTCCCTTCCAGGGTGGCGACAGAGGCATTCTACCCTGGTCCTCCAACCAGAGCTTCTGGGTCTGACCAGTGGGCCCCCTTTGTTTCTACTTTTTTGGCTCCTGCCTTTTCTTTTGAGGCAGGAGGTTTGGAGGACGGCTCGGCCCGGATCCTCGTGGTGGAGTTCCCGGGATGGGAGAGGGGTTGACTTGGGGGCCTTGGGCCCCATTGAGCCCCACTTGGGTTTTTGTACCCTCTGAGCGGGGCTTGGTGTTACAGGGTGTGGGGTTCTCTTTTTTCCCCATCCTTGTACGAGTTGGATTTGGCGTCTACCCCTCCCCGGGTTCAGTTTCGTGATCCCATGGGTTCTTCGGTCCCATCTTTCCAGAGGTTTTCTGC